TTTATAATTATTATTCAATAAACAAAAAGTGAAGACAATAAGTGTAAAGTACCTGTTTAGCACTGTCATAGTGACCTCCTGCGTCTGACAAAATCACGCTGACTTGATTTTAAACCTGGTCTAGTTCGCTTTGTCAAATCTAACTAGTGCATTTGTGCCTACCACAGAACAATTCACATCTTTAAACAAACGGGGAATATTCGGAATCGAGATTTCACCTACAACACAGATTTCCATTCAAGACCTTTTAATTGTAATATCAGGGCTCTGTCGTGTTAAAATCTAATCGTTTTGCAATTTTTTGAGCCTCGTTTGGCCAAATATGAGCAGTGCTGATTAAACTTTATGATAATGTTTGCTAGAATTTACTTTCATCAGGCAGATTAGTACTCTCGTGTGAAGTGTGGGCTTTGCGATCGCCTGCGCAGGCATCCCTACTACATTCATGTTTTTTTTGCAAAACTAACCTCGCAGTATCAAAAACCCTCCTCATTAAGAACAATTTAATCTCCCAGACAAACTTCGTTTTAGGAATCACAAAGTCGTGACTCCTACGCAAGAGTTAGGATATTTGATTTTTATTATTCAAAATGTCGAAAAATGAAACCAAATATTTGAATTGCGCACAAGGCTCTGATTCCACTGCCTGTTCTAACTTTCTCAAACGCACGTGGCGAATCGTTGTCGATAACAGCTTCAGCATTATTCCAGTCAGCAAATTTAACTTCCGGTAACCGCCTAATTTGTACTATCTGCGTAGCGTCGTCGTGGCATCGATTCCATGTTTAGCAACACTTTCCACAACCCTGAAGCACCATAATTTTTTGCCGAATTAATGAACATGTAATGCAAGGAATTATGCTACATCTACTCTTGCGCTTGACATATTTCAGAATCCTCTAACAACAAAGAATCAAAATTGCGTGGAATCAATTAATCACTGGGACGTTTGCTGGTAAAGGGTAGATTAGCGCAAATGTAAAAGGTTTAGTAATGGCATAATAATGCAATTTCTCTCCACGAGGGCGATAATAGTGACAACGCCATATTGAGGTCTAACAAAAACATTTTTGTTATCACAAATAAAGCAACAAATATTAAAACCTGAAAGTAACTTTAATTTATGTGTACTTTGTTGAATTTTTAGCAATAAACCAGTTTTTTATTTTAATGTGAGTAGTACAAGGCACCTGCCAAATGACTGAAGTAGCTGTAGGCCGGTTTTCGTGTCATAGTTTTTAACTCGATTGAATCTGCTCTTACACACACCGTCCATAGTCAAAAGTTAGGCCTCACAATTTGATCCTCGCTATTCATCACAGTGCCAAAGTAGATGCGGGTAGTATGTTAAGTCTGCTAGACAGAGCTCAGCAGTTACGTCTGGTTGTATCTTTAAATCGTTTGTATTACCTTTAGCAACACATTGCTTTCCCATAAAAAAACTAATCATTTTATGCTACCATTTATGATCGTTGATATCAGACACTTACTGCATGGTTGTCCAATTAACAGTCCTTACAATGCTTGGCATCTAGTGGTAACAGTAAGGTGACAATTAACAGTTATATTTGCAGTTACAAAGTCTACAGTGAAAGCAGCCATTTGTTCAGTCGTCAACTCTGTTTACCGTGAATGTATGTTGTCTGCATGCGTAGACGTTCAGCCCTGTGTTTACATAATTGCAGGGTTTAGTGAATTTACGTTCGATTTCATCTAACAGAATGTGATTTTTCTGTTAAAATAACGCAGGACAGAATCGTCATTTGCGTGACGCCTGCAAACCTCTGTGGGGGAAACTGAGTCACAATGCGGGCAATTGAAAGAATACCCGTCAACAGATTAAATGCTCCCATTTTAGCTCAAGTTTAAGTTAATTTGTAATTGAATGATTGAACGTCCCATTATAATGGCAGGTTAGAATCTCTTCAATCAACTTGAGATGAGTTTATGTGCCAGCTTTGGTTCCGAAAAAAATCAGACTTCAAAACGAAACGTAAATGCCTATTCAGCTGACAAATGATGTCTTTGAAGTGTGCTCAATTCTCTGATTGGGTATTGATGTTACTAAACCCTGTTTATGATTGCTGATCTAAAGTCATAATTTTAGGTTAATTTGATTCACTAATTATCACTATTCACGTATTTCTTTGATTAAGGCCATTCAGCAAAACGTACAAAGCCACGGCTATCCTAATTCTGCAGATTTGGACTTCCGGGGCACCGATTTTGGTCCTGCACAAATGCTGCGAACTTCTACTGTAATATGCAGTACTTCTAAACTAACTAATACAAGGAAAAACGAAAAGCCTCGTCGCCATCTGAAACCATTTGACGAGAGAACTATCAAATCAACCAAAACAGTAGATGGAATTGCTGGAATTAAAGTTCGGAAATGGCAGGATGACCAGACTGGCAAAAGTCTTTCAAACGGATTTCATCGGAGTGGTTCTATTAATCATTCTTCGATTTCGCCAGTGACTGACAGCGACTTGGTACAAAATGAAGATTCAGGGACAGCCGAAATGCATTCACCCACAGACGTCATGATGAAGCGCAGCCATTCATGGGATTTGCACACAGGAAGTTCTCCAGCCGAATGTGAAAGCATATCTGATAACTTAGAGGCAATAAAATCAAATGATACGGGTAAGTCAAACCTTGACGCTTAAGCATAATAGCTTTTTTATGCGAAATACCTAATATGAACGTTTTGGCCTATAAATTAATATTTAATGCAGATTCTTACATTTTTTAGTTTCTTCAGACGTCAAACAACCTCCTTTATGTCAGCAACTAGAAAAGGCGCTATTTTAAATGTGTAAAACACCATAGGTATTGGAATTACTAGCCAGTGTGCCAACCTAACGGTTCACAGTCTCTGTTGGGTTCATGTTAAATTGAATACTTTGTGATTCGTTTGTGTTTATATTTTACTGGATTTTTGGATTAAGAGGGTGGAAATAGTCACGATGTTTGACCGATTATTACCACGTATGATCTTTTCCCAGTGGTACTAATTAAAATTACGCGTAATCAGCAGCCGATAAAGCAAGCTCCAAGAAATCCTTGTTCATTACTTTCTAATGAAAGAGGATGGTGCGTAAACAGGAAAAATCTAATTTTATCCATCGTATTCGCTCCCAGTGGCTATTCGGGATATGTAGGAGCCTCCATGAAATGTCCAATGTAATTTTCAAATGTTAAGTTCTCTCTGCAAATAGCTATCTGCTTGCTGCGAGGAAACCTCAAAATCACAAAATATTAGTTTTCTTGAGACAATAATTAAGAAGTCTCATTTATAACACTGTGTCTTCTGCCTCGTGAATTGAATTTATTAAATGATGCAGAATGCGTTGTGTAGCTTTTAAACGTACCGTTCTTCCTATGTAAAAGCCGGTCACATTTTTAGTTGAAGAATTACTTGACTTTTTTGAAATACCCAGGCGACTTTTAAAGTGTAGATTGGAGTGCTAAGCCTGTGCTTTTTGTTTGAATGAAGATAAAGGACGTACATTCAGTGTCTGCGCATTGCATATGACGAGCTCTAATTTAGCAGCCAATTCAATCATTTAAATATTTTGTTGGTAGGCATTTCCTGAAGAGCATTTAATGCACTACCTCAGTGTGGTCATGCAGGTTCTAGTACTGCTAATGCAAAAATTTATGTTCATTGAACACGAGGATTCGCAAAACGAATTCAAGTTGATTTTGGTTTAAACATCGGGGACATCTTACAAAACGTTGTTCTTCCGTGGGATGAGTAAGGCACAGTTAATGTAAAATGACCTTGTACAATTAAGAAATACTTGCTCCTAAATTAATGCGTTTTAGGTGTTAGCATTCTATAGAGGAACGGAAGTGTTTTCAGACTAAGGTTTAAATCCAAAGCTAATACGAACCGAGATTCGCTTTATATACACAGATCACACTGAATTTTTCACTCAGCTTGATGAACAATACATTGATGTTTTGAGTGCCCACGTTTTGGTGGATGACTGAGTAGTAGTGACTTTTCTCGGAGTCTTCCGTGTTCGGTTGCAGTAAAAAAACTTGCTACACTTATCGAGACATCAAGAATATGCAAGTTCTTAGCAAAAATTAAAGAAAAAAACTTTTTTTTGAACTAGTAGATGAGTGAATGACGGTTGAAAGACGCCTTGTTTGCACCAGGAGTAATTTACTTTTGAAATGTGTTAACATTTGATACATGCCAAGAAAATCATTGCTGTTTCCTAGTGGACGCCTATCAACACGCTGCCTTGTCAATTTTGAGAAACCTTAGATTTAGGACACCAGGTCCTTGAACGTCCCATTGTTAGAATAAAAAAACTATTTTCACGTATTTTATACCTGCATTGAAATCCAGTTTGCAATGTAGACTTGAGAAATTGCGAGGCGGATTTGCAGTTAGATGCATTTGTGAATTTCATCGCCTTTCGTTTTTAACCATTCTCAGATAGTAACTGCGAATTTCTCAACAACAATGCATGTTAGGCAAGTTATTAGAATATCAAAAAAATAGATGGAAATGCGGTTTTGATGACAAAATGGGGCCCTTTATTCATGTTTCACTAAAGCCTCAAGTCTTATGTGGTGAATTCGCGAAATTATAATTTGCTCTTGGATGGAAATTGGTTTTTTGTTTCCACCACTTAATCCTGACCTTGCACATTCAGCTACCAATAATTAAGGAGCTTACGAAAATTTTAGCTTAAAATTTTATTGAGGCAGAGAACCTGGAATTACTCTTATTTCCCCTTCTAGTAAAAAGTATTGTGAGTTATATGACTAAGGATTCATAGGTTGCCAGACCAAATGATATCCATAATTATTGAAATTGATTCAGTGTACAACTTAGTTTTATTTTCATACAAAATAACAACGCTAAACTTTCTTACAAACCCATTAGTCTTGCCAAAATAGACTCCAATATGCATAAAAAATACAAACAACTCTAATGGATATCTTCAGAGACACATCCAATAACGTCTGCTGCATATATGCACGAAACCTTAACTTCTCCGAAACGTCACCATCCCGCCTCACCGTCTTCACTGGGACCAAGATCAGTCATCCTTTATGCAAAAGAGGAAAGTGCCACTACAAGCCCTATTGAGGACAAAATGCAAGGCACAAACCCTAGCACTACTTCTGTTTATTGTGAATCTTCAGCATCAATGTGCAGAGAAGAGGTAAATCGAGAGAAACCGGTCATTGGCTGTGACATGGCTGTGACGAAAGTACTAACGGATGAGCCCCTACCCGGTTACGAGAGGGTATTTCCATCACCTTACCAGCAGAGTGAAGATGATGCCCCTGGTGTTAGTGAAAAGCAGAAAACAAATCAGTTGAATGGGCTCAACAGATCAGGATCACTGCTGCCTAGACCTGGTCATGGTGGAACGGCTTCCTTGATGTCCTCCCGGAATAAAACAGTTGCGAGGTCTAAGCGGGTAAGAGTTTTTTTGAATAAGTAATGCTTAGAATAAAATGTAAAATGTTTTGCGCATGATGTAGTTTTAGAGACTTGGATACTACACGCTACCCTACATATTTATTTTAATTAACCCAAAGAACCATTTAGCCAAGGAATTAAGACAAAACACTTTAATGCGTTATGATGTTTTTAGCGCCTTTTATCTGTTATGAAATAGTTCGTTATCTAATTTTTGAAAATGTAAAGAGCTTAGATGATCTCACGACCCTGTTTATGACCAAGATGTTAGATATTTACCCTAGAGCTTCTAATCAATGAAGCGTGTTAAATCTAAAGCCAATTTGCCAAAATTCAACATCAAAAGTTAATCGTTTTTGCAAACATGTTCTTTCACAAAAGTTTCTTATTGAAATCCAGTATTACGTGTGGAAGCTACTACAGCCTTTTGAATATTTAAAACTAGGTTTGTAATGACATTAATGTCTTAGAAATCCCACCTGACCACACGGCCACTCTATTTATAGCACTCCTCAAGAACAAATCTCTACATCCGAGGGCTTCCGAAATCGATGTCAGAAAATGACCTTGTTAGTCTTGTGCCGGATGCCTCAGCGATTCGGTCAGTGAAGCTCGTTGTTAATAACGACGGTGAAGGTAACGCTGCCTCATTTATTAAAACCATAAAAGTCACCACTTTAAATGCGTCCGTGCCGACTTCCCGCTAAAATGAAGCAGTCTAAAAGTGGATTGGTGGAGTTGTTTTTACTCTTTCTATTGAAGCCTATTTTTCGTCTTGAAAAGATGTGTAGAGGGTAATCTGCAAAATAGTTGCTTTCTAAGAACTGAATTTTGTTAGTGCATGAGATTAAACCTCTGAGAACCTTTCGCCTTGTTCCCGACAAGCGTCTACTGAAAGCGTCACTGAAGATTAGTAAAATGATAGTGTAACCGAAGTGATAACAGGTAACATAGCTGTGAAGGCTAGTTTAGTAGTTATCACAAAACAATAACCATTCCCTCTAAATGAAGTTTAGTTTGTAGAAGTTAGTATTGACGCAACACGGCGAAAAAGGAAAACATGCAGTAACGTTATAGGCTAAATAGGAGTGCTGAAAAGTGGTGTGACTGATTACGCAGATATGTAGGAATCCTTAGATGGAACAAAATGTAGATAAAGGAATGCGGAACGATGATAAGCCAACATAGATACATGAACAAATGTCGCTTGACCCTTCAACTCTATGGTTTTCACAAAACAAACCAACATGGATTTGGATCTAACACTGTGCTCACAAAATAATATATGGGCTCAATGTCTTCGCAGTTCAGTTAATGACTGTAAATTTTCAGAGTTCAAACCGGTGTTTTAACGCTATGCGTTTTATCGAATGCGATTACTTGAGATGATTTTACTGTCACAAATTTTAAATCTAGTTTCGGCAATTAAAATATTTAGGTAAACATGTGTAATAGTTATTAAACTGTGAAAGTACAGTGGGTTCGCCAGCGGGTAAAGCTGTCATAGTTGCCATGAAGGAAGCCGACTGCAAGTTCTGCTCTTGACAACAAAACATTTCGACATTCTGCGTTAAACTCAATACGCCAAGTGCACAAGAGGCGGAAGATTTCATTACGCTAATTGACCACACCAGTTCCTTTTGCTCTTCTGCTTCAATTACCCGTTAAAATTTATGCATCTTTTACGATATTTTGGCTTAAAGATCAGATGTAGCCAATGTTGAATTAGCAGCAAAGAGGGTCAATGAAAGTTGTTGATTAGGCCCATAAAACCTGAACAGTTTATACGAAGAAGCAAAATTGGTTCAAAGTAATATGACAAATGACTAAACCTTACTCCAATGAATTAAAATATCCAAATGAACAAAGTAAAAAGGAGAAAGTCAATTTGCACCAAAAAAATCGAAGGATGCTTTACACAGAAGCCACACCGACAACTTTGAGAAAAGACAGAAATAATTAAACCTAGGTATCATGAACTTGGTTTAATATCAACGTTTTTTATTCAATAAAATATAAAATTTCATTTCACGGTCAGCAAAAAATATGTTAGTTAATTTATTTATGTACAGAAAAGACTGTGAGCTTTGATGAAAATACTCTGAATTTGCGTTTTTGTGATACCCTGATTGATATGAATATTGGCAACGGTTTTTCTAAAAATTATAACATTTTTGCAATCGTTTTTTTCTGATCCAATTGCATCCATTATTTTGATTCGTTTTTATTATTTACATATTTTAGGCTACGGATTTATTGACTTCATATCAAATGAAGCAGCTGTTGTGGCAATGCAACATATAAAACTACAAAACTCCAGCCAGTATGTTAACTTTGCCTATGTAAGTGGACGCTTATTTTTTGAGCTTTTTTTTAAAAAAAGAAATGTAAGGTAGTATACCCAAATTAAGAAATAGCAATATATAAACCTATAAAAAACTACAGTACAATATCCTTACTCTACTTCCATAATGCATGTGTTCAGATGTGTGAAATTACTTCTTATGGCAAATAAATACATTTAGTTGGAGTTAAAGTTGAGTTGAAATAAAGTATTTTTAGCCACCTTCTAAACTCTATCTTAATCCAGGCTGGTCTGCACAACGCCTTGCTATTTCAATATAGTATTTATGATTTTAGTCTGAATGCAAATACGATACAAATTATCTGAGTCTGATTCATTTTTCATGACACTAGGGTCATACAACACTATTTTAAACCTACTAATTTCAAATCAAGGCACGATATCTTATATAAAACTACTGGGTCTCTCGTGTTGCATGTTGGCTAATAGGCATGCTTGGAACGTTAGATACCATTCATTCCAAAAAGTGTTGCTATCAGGACTAATAATTATGCATTTTGGCTCATTATTTTAATGGTCGCTTGAAAACGTAAAATTTACATTTGCGATCGAGATCAACAACTTATTTAAATTTTTTTGAATTACTGTAGAATTGGAGGAGAACTCACTGTTAAAATGTATTACAATGTTGAAGGTGAAAAAATACCTGCAGTTATACACGAATTGTGTGGAAGTTTACTGTAACAAAGTTACAGTTCACACCAAACATATTGAAACAGTAGAATCAAAAGGTAGAGCTTTGCCAGTGTTCGCAGAACTTGAAGTTCACTAATCCATCATGTCAAAATGATGGCAGCTTTATAAGTTAACTCGGCATGAATCATGTGACAATGTGCTAAACAAGTCACATGAGTGATGCTGTTGGTCAGATTTCTTGAAGTGATTTCATGTAATTCATGAATTAGAATGTTGCAAAGAACAGGCGTTATTTTAAACTGGGTTACTGGGTAATTTGAATATTGAACAAAAAGTTAATTGTAAAAAAGCTGTTGCGTTGATCACGAATTTAAAAATTTTACCAGAAATTAGGAGGCCCTTTTCATCACCAATTTCACTTGACACACATAAAAATTCATTATTTTATAGTTAATGCTTCTTTTCCGTAACATTATATTCTCATATTTTGAAGAAAAATCGATGCAAATATGTTCCACTTAAACGTGCTTATTTTTTTTTAGTTAAGCATAAGTAAATCAAGCAATGGGTTTGAAAACTGAAAAACGTTTACTTCGTATTCACACAACCCTTAAAAAATTCTGACTCATTTGACAGTATTTTGGTAAATGATGTCCTAAATTGTCAATCTTCATTTTGTACTCTAACATTTATACATATTAAACGTTGTTAGACATTACATATTATATATATATACTTCGATGCAAGATTTTGTAACATAATAGTCACAGTTCATGTATTCCCAAAAAAATAAATAGCTTCAATTCCTGACCTAATGATGATGTTTTACACAAATTTTAAATAGACATTCAAAACTATATTCAATGCTTACGGGTGACTGCAACAAAGTTAATTATAGTGTATTTCATCTATTTTAACAAGATGTTTCAAATAATGTGCGTCGCTTTTTACTTAATGAATCAGGCTGCGTTTTTTTTAATTTCCCTTGGCTCCGATTTTCTGGAAGCCATTTTAAACACTGTACTTATGCAATTTGTTCAACTAGGTTTATTTAATAGAAAGTGTCGTGGATTACAAGAAGCAAATGTCCAAAATAATAAGCACGCTTACTGTAATGTAATCAAATGAAAGGGGGCATGGTCTACTGCTACCTGAAGCTGTATCTGCATAACTTATGTAAACGTGTACATTACACTCTGTGAAGACTGGTTAGAAGTGTTCGAAAAAAGGTTTCTGGAAACATAAAACTAAAGTGGTCCAAAAACTGCAATGAGGATTTTGATAAAATTCCTAATGGTGCTTTATTATTCACTCTGTCATCACAGTAGCTTGAAATGGAACTGAGATTTTTTTACTTCGTGAGTATTCCATCTGATGACATTAATTACCAGGTTCCTATAACAAAATAAGCAACATTGATGGAATCAAAACTTACACAAGCGCACGGTCCCACTCTGAACTTGGCAACGATTTGGTCAAGGTACTAGTCCTATTTGCTTTCGAAAATGTCGTCTATGAAGAATTGGGTCACGATTCAAGTAAATTTTGTTGTGGGTTCCAGCATGTGGTCTTGAACCACGCCGGGGCCATGGAATTAAACCTGGTCCGATTACGTTTCCTGATACCCTCGATGAAAAAAAAGATAGGAGAGGACGTGGATGTTTTTGTTCATCTCGTAGACAACTCATGAAATCCAGTCTTTTACTCCAAAATACTTAGAAAGTAATTATCTACACAAAACAGAACAGTACAGCAGGTTCAAATATAAATGTGTATTAGGACATTGATTTAAAAGCAATCTCATTTATTGACAACTGTTTTCAGTGAATTTGAATGCTCAATATTCGTCTTGTTTCTTACTAGGAGTCAGAAAAAGATCCGCTAAATGTCTACGTAACAAACATTCCAGAATCCTGGAACTCGGACAATGTGGAGAATCTTAAGCAAATTTTTGCTCCTTATGGCAAGATAACGTCAGCACTTGTCATGACACGGAGATCGACAAATACATGTACAGGTGAGAGGTCATCTTACATTCAATGTCAAAAAAGTCTGAAGTTTAAATTAAAATTTCACGCTAAAAATGTCCATAGAAATTCTATTTGAAGGCAGTTGTTTGCGTAGTTGAAAGGAAATCCAATGCAATGAAAAGACCGACTTCTTAGTGTCCTTTTTCTTTCAAAGGAATACTTTTCCTGTCATCGAACTAACTTTCGCAAAGTGCTCTACCGTTTATAAAATGCAAACAAATATCTAGCTAATTCAGCCATATAATTCCAAAATTTCACTTGTTAAAAATTGAAAACAATAAATGCTATTTATTCTTGGCAATTTATTAACTAAACCATATCTATTAATTAGAAAACTTATAACAAAGGCTTAAGATCCAATTTATACAAATAATTACACTTTGGTAGGTGAATTCTGATGCAAACTATTGAAGAGACATTGTCCATCACTTAAATAAACGTTGATTAGTGATCCTTTGTGATTACACATTTATGAAAAATGCGGTCTTCAAAAACTGAATTGATGGAAGTCTTTGAAACTGCCTTACCTACAAATCCAAGATGTCACTATTGTATCCATAATGGCTGAGAAACCTAAACTATGTTTGCGTTCCAATCATTTATATTTACAAACTGTGTATTTCATTTCAATTTCAAACAAGCGCTTAGTTTAATTTGTAATTTCATTCTACTTAGACAACCCCAAAATATAAGGTATTAAAGGCTATATTCAAAAGATAAACGGATTTGTTGAAAGACTGTCAATCACCCTACGATGTGCCTATACGCAGAGGCAAGCTTTGCTTAACTGTTTTAATGTTAGCTGTTTTTCGGGATATGCTTACCGAGGAAGATAAATCGTTGACGATTGCTTCAATAAACAATGCCCAAATGCGACAAAATCTTAACATTAATTTGACTGCATAAATAATGATTTTCAAAAATTATGCACTAATTTGGTCATGATATGTGGCCATCAACGAATCTCAAGAAATGAGCAGAGTAGCTCTAAGGTTAGTTTTAAAGGAACTTATTTTGAAAGTGTAAGAAGTGTTAAACTTTCATAGTTGTTTTAACGCAGCGTGGGATGATAGTCGAGTATAGATGTTTTAGTCTATTTTCAAATCACCATTGATGAGATTTTTGTTGCCTAAAGTGGCCAATGAATATGATGATTCTAACCTGTCGTTTTATTTGGGATACAAAACAGTCTAAAATTGGTCATCCTCCAAAGCTTTAACCAGAATTACGTCAGAGCCACAAAATCTCTTACTTAATGCAGACATTACCTTTAATCCGCACCATGCGTCCAAATCTGCATAATTAAAGCTTGATGTACTACAGAAAGCTGATTTTTGTTTGCCGAACAGATCCCGCACCCATACGTTGGCACATTTTGGGTGATTTTACGGACCTACCCTAAACTGGTCGTGTAATGTTAAATTTTTACGGGCAATTGCCTAAATGTGCTTTGGAAACTAACAAAACCAAAGAATTCCGGTTTACTCTAGTTTGTGCAGCGAAGAAGGTACCTGGTCGTATTAGTAAATGGATCCTAAATTTGCAGTATCATTATAAGTATTAACAAACCAAAAGGACCGTAATCTTAAATGGCACAAATTCACTTCGTAATGTTAACTGAATACGAATTTCGATATCCATTTCCACATGTCGCGTTGTGTTATAGTCTATAATAACATCTGAGTTGTTTCACGCAAACCATTTACATTTCTGCATCTGCTTAAGAATTAGCTATAGAAATTGTATGCCGCCTTAAGCTATACACCTTTTATTGACAAACACGTTAAGACGCTTCCACAGGCGAAAATTGATGCAGCAAATTTTTCTTGATGTAGTATTTTCAATTTCAATGACCAATAATTGTAGATGGGTTACCTTTTGTGCTAACTTGTGTCCTTTTCACTGCAATAGCCGGTAGTCAAGGTCTTTAAAAGAACCATTTGTTCAATAACGTTTTCATGTGTGCTAAGTTTTGTACTAGCTGCCAAATGATCAAGTCAAAACTCTCTATGTAAAGGCATTTTGTGGCTTTTGTTAATTAAACAGGAACTGGATTTGTCCGCTATCTGACCTCTGAAGAAGCCCAAAGAGCCATTGATGGGATTCGGAAAGCAAAGATTACGCTGCCTGGTGCAAAGCGGCCTCTTGAACTCAAGTTGGCTGACAGACAACGGACACGTGAACACAAAAGGTAAATTATGCGCATCTAGTATCAACAAACAAAATACTTTTTTATTGCACTAGGCTGATTTCACACACGATCTTGTTGGTTCTTTTTAAACGTGATTGTAATGCTTGAACCCCATTGATCCCATGACATTAGACGGATGCAATGTTGAAGGACGGTCAAAGGATTCACTTTTTTTAAATTTAGCTTAAATGGCTGACTGTGAACTCTTTTTTTAATCATTTGGCTAATTATGAATTAAAGTGTGCTCGTGCGCAGGTGCTGCTAACCCAATTGTTCTAAAATTGAGCATATTTTTGCTTAATAGTAACGGCCGCTAAAAATCATCTTTACCAGAATCAGTTAGTAAATAATTGAAGCCGACTGCAAAGGGAATATTTGTAGCATTTGGTTCACAACAAGCAGTTTATAGTTTACCACTCATCTCCTGGTAGCATTATTTTTTTTCTCAAATAATGCTAAGATATTACTTTCCTCCTTAATCACATTTTGGTTTTAAGATTGTTGCTGTAGGTTGATGCTTTAAAGTATAGGAAGGAAAATTTTTGCACGATCTTTGCAATAAACTTCCTAAGTGTTATTTATGCTAACAAATACAAAGTGGTAAGAAACAAATTAAACCAGCTAGTCTTAGATCGAATGTGTGGCAAATAGAACCAAACGAATCAGATACGCTGCCACGTTTGCCCGCTTGGCATTGGTTATTTTAGCTCGTGTCGAAATCAATTGGACTTGGTTTTTTGTGAGCAAGAAAATGATGCTCGCAGAAGCTTCTATGATTGATAAACAAAGAGTTTTTTGCACCATTTAGGCATGCGGAGATTTTTTGTAAATTATTTTGACTGCCAAATTCGTCTCGCAGTTTTTTAAGGCAACGTTTCATGTACACTTTACCATTCATCCTCAAAATTGCTTATGAATTTCCTGGAAGAAAAGTAAGGAAAAATTAGTATTCATTTGACCTGACTGTTGGGTAGTTATGCAGGAATATAATGCTTTTGCCTTAGCATTGTTTTTTTACTAAAGGTAAAGATCTGTGTTTAATCAGAAGCTTGTGCACCTTAAAAGGTTTATTGGTTTGCACCAAGTTTACATTGACGCTAATCCTAAGTTCTTATTAAACTCCGAAACAGAAGCTTTGATACTGACTGACTTCCAAGAACAAATAATCAAAATGACTTGTTGTTTTCTATTAGCTTATGAGATAGCACTTTGATGTCACAAAGCTACTTCTGCTTATCCCACCCATTAATGTTCTTTTAGGAGATTCCGGATTAACATTGCTTGACGTAAGGTGAAAAGAATCGAAAGTTAACAAATTTTTAAATTACTTTAGTCACGAAGGGATGCAAACGCGATTACTAATTTACAATAAATTGCAGATTGGTTATCCTAAGGTCACATTCGTTGTCAGTAAGTGTTTTACTCGTTAAAATTGAAACTAAATCAAACCATCCCTTTCCCTACTCCAACTCTCCCAAAGCTCTTGCCCTCTGAGTTTGTATGCGGTAGTATGGAATACATCCGGTTC